CCCCAAAACCCCAAAACCCCAAAACCCCAAAACCCCAAAAGGAAAGAGAATATTGAAAATTTGTTAGATAATGTTGCATTAGAATGCCTTTTTGCATAACTTAATATGCTCTTCGATCTTATCAACCATGAAAAATCTCTTGCACTCTGGACATTTTGAGGCATCCTCTGAGTCCTCTTCGAGTTTAAAACTGGTTTTAGAGATCTGGCCATCTGTTTCAAAGCCTTGATATATATGCCTATTAGCCTGAGTAAGAACTGATTCAGGCTCTGTCACGTTCAGAACTGCAGGAGCTGGCTCTGAGTCCCTACCTCTGAGTAACAGAGATCTTCTCTGAGGGGCAAACGGCTTATTTTCTTTCTCTGCTAAACTACTCTGGGAATTTTCTGATCTATTGAAAATTTGTGGCATTTCACCTACAAAGTTCAGCTCAGTGGACTTACTGGTATGAATAAATGAGTAATCTAGGTTTGAGCTTGCAGAAATTCTTTTCTTTGTAGAAGACCGAATGCTCTTGGTTTTGGAATTTCTAGGAAGATTAGAATAAAATCCGTACTGAGCTAGTCTCTTAGTAAATTCATTGACAAGTAGCCTATTTACCCTGTTTGGTCATTCAAACTCCTTATTTGGCTGATCCTGAATAGTTGTGCTCTCTAATGAACATCTGTTATCAATAGTATGCTTGAAGCAAGAATTCTTAGCCAAATCTTCCTCCTGAGAGGATACTTCTGCTGAATAATCCTCAGTAGATGGCTTTGAAGAGCGTTGCAAAGATATTTCTATTGATGATTTTTGAGAGTTATCAACTGGCTGTTGTTTCTTTGGTACTGCGAAGTTCAAGTAATACCTTGGAGATATCATACCCATCTTAGATACCTTCACCTTCGAAGGCTTGAGCATTGTAGTCAAGGATAACAAGTCAAAGTTACTGGCTATCCCATTGACATTCATAGACTGTTGGCGGCTCATAGAAGAACTACAACTTTTCTTCACTGATCTTGTCTTCTTCTTTTTAGGCCTTCTCTTTGCTGAATATCAATCTTGAGGTTCTATGAAAATGAAACTTGTTCAAACTACTTAAGTATCTAAATCAAATAACTTACTGCTAAAATATTGAGTTTTTGGAGGAACTTTCCTACACTTCCTTGTCTGGGAGTTCCTACGGTTCGTGCTTGGACAAGTTTCGGTTATTGACATGAATATGTCCATCACCTTATCTTTGGTCTCAGGGACTAAATTCTTTCAGAATCATTTCATTGAAAATTAAACAGCTTTATGAAAGGAACTTACCTTTTACTTCATCTCTTTTAAATTTATAGACCTTCTCCTTCTAATTAAAATTAGACTGGGTAATTTGGCAATTTAGTGAAATGATATAATAGCCTACATAATTAACTCTTGAGCAATTTGGAGGTGCAATAGTTATCAATTTATTCTTCTTTCCTCTACATTTTCTCCTTTTTAAATTATTTAACGCCTATAAAAGTGTTAATAAACATTAGAGATGACCAAAACTGGGTAAATATGTCTGAAAATTACCTGTGTATATGCATTTTTAGGGTTTTGGAACTTATGCTCTCGCCTATTACCCTTCCTAGCTCTTTGTGTTACTTCAGAGTAACTTCTCTCACATGACTTATGTAAACTCCAGGCCCCAAAGAAGTCAGGGACTTCTCTATCTCTTGTCTTCCTTTGTCTAGTTGACATTAATTGAAAATTAAATTTTAATGAACCAATTTTGCGAAATTTAAAAGGGGTTTTGGGGTTTTGGGGTTTTGGGGTTTTGGGG